ACTCATTTATGTGGATTTACAAAGCCAAGTCTTAGTCTTGAAGACGTCAAGGCGGTCTAGCGTGGCATAGTCAAAATTCTTTTCTTGGGACATATTTGACATCCTAAAGCTCGCTAACCACACCAAAAGTTCGCTAACAAGATCAAAGTTGTCTATTACACAAAACATCAAATAAAATTTATTTCTAATATCTACCAATTTCGTTCTAACGGTGATTCTATTTGATAACCACCCATATCAAATACAGCTCTTCCAACATTAAGCAACGAAGGATTTAGCCGAAGTAGCCCGAAGTAATCGTCAAGTTCCTTGAGCAGAAACCAGTTTTCTCGCGATAACCTATAAATGAAGGTACGATGAAAAACCGTTGCGCAAGTGAACAAATAGAAGAGAGGACGCACTTTGAGCATATGAAAGTAGACCAGGCTATTTCGATATCACTATTTCGAAGTCCTATAGAATATGATCGTGATGACCTAGAGATTACTGCAACCATAGCTAGATGATTCTAAAACAGACGTCTTAAATTTGTACGGACATACAAAACCAAGTCTCACTTGAAGAACCGTCACTAGGCGGTCTAAAGTGGCATAGTCCTTGTCAAGATTCTTTCCCTGTTCATTGATGAGCTTTGTGATAACATTATTCACTCGTGATATCGAAAACTCTAGGTCTTGGCAAGCCATCTATAATCAAAACAAGGTGATGGGATGAAAATGTAAATGACTCAGACTCACTTGAAGAGAAGGGTGTGCATGTTCAGCGATATAGTGCGTCAACCTTGGATTGTCCATTTCATCCGCCAGCCTTTCTTGTCCAAAGAATCGCTTTAAAGAGCTCACTATCCTAGAATGCATACTCCAAATTAATCTTCATGAAAAGTTGAAATCAGAAGAGGTGATGCCTTTGAAATTTGAGATGAATGAAAAATTCCATGTGGCCACTTGAAGTTGGGAGAAATGACTAAAAGTTTGGGAAATCAAAAAAATGCTCTACCTCTTGTGGCCTATGGAAGTCCATGATGAAAGTGTGGCAATAGCAACGCTTTCAGTGCTGGCTTCATCGCGAGTCTGAACCTTTCACATTTTGCAGAATTTTGCAAATAGCTGATGAATGCGATGGAGTTACCCACCATGGACAGCAATGTGGTAACATCTCTTATGTTCTTCTCAAACTGTACCGCGGGATTGGTTGAATGTATACCTGCCAAATTCACGCAGGTTGCTATGCTACTATTTAGTACATCCCTCGTCAACTTCTGTAGGCACATATTAAAATTTCAGC